TCCAGGATGGAGAGAGACACACACACACACGGCCCAGCCCCTCCAGGACGGGGGGGCACCCCCCCCACAGTCCCTCCAGGACGGGGACGGACACACACACACACACACACAGCCCCTCCAGGACGGACACACACACACACGGCCCAGCCCCTCCAGGACGGGACACACACACACACACACACACACACACACACACTTCCCTAGGGCAGGGTAACCCCATTTAAACGCCGCCCCTACCCTCACCCCAGTCTCAGTCCAGCACAGAAGTGGGGGAGGCAGCCGGCCCCCCACCTCCCTGAAACCAGAAGCCAGCTCAGGGCCACACACTAGCCCCTCTCACCCCCGGGGGAAACTGAGGCAGTGATTGGGCCAATAGGTTTCCCACTTCTCCTTGGGGCATTTTCCAGGGGCGAGTTCTGCTGTTAGTCTGGAGTCACCCCCTGACTGCGCCAGGGCCAGGGCCGGATTTCGGTAGCTAGAGGGGGTGTATGCGGACAGATGGGCGGGGCAGGCAAGAGATGGTACCTATGTATTCATCCCCCCATCCCCATCCCCTCCCCCAAGCTCCCTGACAGATCCTTCCCATCCCCTCGCTCACACCAATACACTTCTCACCTTCCTGGCTTTGGGTTCCCCATTTCGGGGGAAGAGGACAACAAGGGGGTCAAGACTGTGAGCCTCAGTTTCCCCTCCCATCCCTCCTCTCTCAGTGGCTTTTCCCCAGGACCCCCCTGCTCTAGATTCTTCAGTCCCTCGCCGGTGGGATCCCAGCTGGGTGGGGGCGGGGATTCAATTCTGGAATTGGGTGTAAAGGACCGAGCAGGGGTGGGGAGGGGGAAGGAAATTGTCGTCTGCCTCCAAAGCAGGAAGACGCTGATAGGAGCTGGCAGGGCTGCAGTCCCTTCCCGTCCCGGTGGCCTTTTCAAAATCAATAAACTCTTTCTGAATCGCTTGCTCACACGGGGTGTCATGTCGGCATCTCAGCCTGTGTGGCTTGGCCCTGGTGACTCCCCCCCCCCCACACACACAGCGGCACGCTGAGAGCTAGGGCCCCCCAACTCATGAGACAGCCTCCTCCAAATCACACGTTTGCCCCCCCAAAATCACGTTGTTGCCTTCAGCCCCATGAGCCTGATGCCTTGAACCAGGCCATTTACCTTCAAAATCGTGAGCTTGCTGCCGCAAATCATGAGATCATCTTCAAATGCGTGAGACTGTCCCCCGACTGGGAGACAATCATGAAAACCAGAATACCGCCTTCCCCATTGCGGGCCAGCCCCCAAAGTCAAGACACGACCTTGAGAATCAGAAGCCTGCTGCCATAAATCATGACCGTGCCCTCACAACCACGAGACCGTGCCCCCCAAATCACCAGACCACCTTCCAACCCCAGCGACTGCCCCGCAAAAATCACACGGTTACCGTCAAACTCACGGGCTCGCCTGAGAATCCCCCAACCGTCCCGCTAAATCGTACGAGCGTCACCGAAAGCAGGAGACTGTCCCGCAAAATAACGAATTCACCGTTAAAATCAGGAGATGGAGCCAAAATCCTAACGATCCCCCCGAATCCCGAGACGGCACCCAAATCACAACATTGAAATCACAACTCCGAAATCACAACTCTGAAATCACAACTGCCATCAAATCACAAGATTTTAAACAGTCATAACTTTGGGGTCTTTATTTGCCTGCTGGGTTCCTGGACCCTGGGGGAAAACATCACATCTTTACGCTTTCCTCCCCAACCACGGGAGATGGAGACAGACAATTTTAGTGAGCCCAGGGGCTCCAAAATTCACCGACTCCAGGCGGAGTCACATCTAGAAACAACTCCCATATACTGAGATGTGTGAAGAGATGAAGCAGACAGGTCACTACTGTACGGGATAGATAGATAGATAGATAGATAGATAGATAGATAGATAGATAGATAGATAGATGGGGTGTCTGGGGATCGATAGATAGATAGAGGAGGGGTGTGGGGATAGATAGATAGATAAGAGGGGGTGGATGGGGATAGAGGGATAGAT